TATACAGTATATTATTTTTTAATTAAATGTATAAATTAAATTCATTTTGATTGGAATCTATAAACATTAATTATAATATAAATTAGTACTGATATCAAATTTTAAAATTAAATAATGAAATTAAATAATCAATTACCATTATAATTTCCAATAATTGTGACTTTTCTAGAATTTATAGGTTGTGGCAGATTTGTAAATTTCAATAGTCTGCTAGTGTAAATAGCATTTGGATGCACAGTTGCTTCAATTGTTGAAAGATAAAATTCAATCTTATCCATTTCATTAAACTCTTCTTCGTGACAAAAACCTATTATAATATCTTCAATTCCATCAACAGTTGGACGTTTATCTGGATTAGCATCCATACATTTATAGGCCAAGTCAATATAAATTTTTGGTGTATTAATTGAGAACCCAGGTCTTACTCCTTCACAGATCTTGATTGCAAGATAACTATCATGTGGAATATTATTGAATGGTTGTTGACCTGTTGACACAACTGACATCAGAACTCCAAAACTATAAATGTCTGATGCCATTGTGTAAGGTTTACCATTTAAAGCTTCTGGTGCTACATATGGTAATACCCCAAATAGGTTGTTTTTATTTGAAGTTGCTGATGCTTGATCAGCTGAAATTGATAATCCCAAGTCTGCAATATATGTTTTATCATGATAACTACTATGAAGAATATTTCCAGCATGAAGATCACAATGAATGATATTTTGTTCATGAATATCTTTTAAACCTTTGATAATATTTAAAAGAATTCCAATTTTATCTTCCCATTTTAAATTTTTAAATTCTTTTGTTAAATAATTGAGAAGATTTCCTTCTTTTATATATTCCATTACAAGTATATATTCTTTGGTAATCGGATCTTGTGTCAATCCAAAAACATGAATTATGAAATCATTTTGATGAAATTTAATGTTGTTTTTGAGCTAAAATAAAAGATTAAATAAAGTAATTAGTTAGAATCAATCAATTAATTTTTTTGTTTTTAAATTCAAATACTTGAAAGTGATGATGATGATGATGATAATAATAATAATGATGATTAACCTCATTTAAAAACACATCAGTATTTTGAGAATTATGTAATTTTTTTAATGCTACAATCCTATTTTTACAACATCTTTTATTTTCTTGAAAATCTACATATTTATTACCATTTAACCAAGTAGCTTTATAAACAGTTGCAAATCCTCCTTCACCAATTATTTCTAGTTCATTTAATTTATAATAATGAATCCATTGAAGGTAATATTCATTATCATAAAATTTTGCTATGAGCTGTGTACTTTTAATTAACTCATCAATTGTTTTGGTACCACTGGTCCATCCTTCAGTTAATAAATATGGATCACATGATTGGCACCATGAATCACTAGTATTATATCTATTACAAGTCAAACAATTACCAAATATCCCATTTCTTTCATTTGAATACATATCATCATTTCTGTTGATAGACATATAATTACGAAATATGCCCTTGAATGAAGGTCCTCCTTTATCCAATAATTCTTTTATTAAAAAATTTTGAAGTTGTCCATCTTTTAAATAACTTATTACAAATATATAATCTTTTTTGATTGGTTCTTGTGTTAATCCAAACATATGAATTATATTACTAATTTGGTAATTTTTGAACTAAAAAAATAAACCATAAAGAAAATATTAGTTTAATAGCAATAATAATGATTTTTTTAAACAAAAAGCCAAAAAAAAAAAAAAAGAAATCATAAAACATTCACTTCGTTTAAAAATTCATTATAAATATTTTGAGAATTATTTAATTTTTTTAATGCTACAATCCTATTTTTGCGACATCTTTTATTTTCTTGATAATCTACATATTTATAACCATTAACCCATTTAGCTTTATATATAGTTGCAAAGTCACTTTCACCAATCTTTTTAATATCTTTTAATTTATTATAAGGAATCCATTGAAGATATCTAGTATTTTCATACATTACTGTTCCAAGTTGTGTGCATTTAATCAACTCGTCAATGCTTTCATTGCCACTGGTCCAACCCTGAGTTAGTAATTGTGGATCACATGATTGACACCATAAATACCAAGTATTATTTCCATGACAAGTTGAACATTCACCATATTTTTCTTTTATCGAAACACAATTACGAAATATATCTTTAAACGAAGTTTCTTCTTTATCAATTAATTCTAATAAATATTCTATTTGAGACATGTATTTTACTTTATAAAGTTTGAAATTAAATTATTTATTTACTGTGTTCATCAATATAGTTTTTCGAAATAAAAAAATTTTTTACTTGATAGTGTGGGCCTTTAAATATTGATAAATTTTCTAATTTTAGAAAAAAGAATTACACAAATTTATATAATGACGGGGACTCATTCAATAAATAAATAATTATTCAAAGATGAAAGAAATATATGGTATGTGTCCAACTTGTATCAAATATTTCACGGCGTGACCCACTATTATCAATTAACTCAAGGATGAACAAATGAATTGATGAAATAATTAAAAGCACACAACTTAAAACAATAATCATGGTTATTTTGAATTGGTTTCTTTTCTTATAAAAAGATTTAGATTATTCGATTTATTCAAATAATAATAGATTTGATAATGCAAAAATTATGGCAGATTTCAACGTAATAGAAGGATAACTCATATTTATGGATTATCACACCATTTGTTGATGGTATTTAATTGTACTAAATTTGATTGGCTAGTTTCATGTTGACATGAATTTTTTTTGGTATCATTCATAGTGATAATATTCTAAATTTAGCATTATCTAAAAATAAAATAATGTTAGTATATTGGAGTATATGGTTATATAATGGTATCAAGTAAAGCTTCACCATATGATTATCTCGAGAGTTTATATTAAAGATCACTACATCGATCAGAATTTATATATAATAAATGGGAAATTTTTCTAACTTCATTATATCGATCGTACTATTCACTATTTAATGGTTCACTATATCGACGTCAACTGTGGAAGAAAAAAGTATTATATGTGTGCAACACTCTTAACAAATATTTGGAATACTCAAAAGCATTATGTATACTCTAAACACAAATACCCGAGAATACTCAAAGCATCACATATAATTCGAATATTATTATTATGTCCACAGATTTTCAAAAAAAAAACCCCAAATAATTCGTGTGGATATAATAATAAAATCGAATGAAAAATCATTTCGAATTCTCTCACACTCAAATTAACTGATATTATAGCTTGACATGGATGTTGAAGTTTATACTACACTAACGTTGAAACAAGCACAAACTATTACCGCGCTTTTAATAAGCATCTTGGATATTGGTGGTTCATTTTCCAATGCCAATTTTAAAGACTATAGTCCTGACAAATATAATTGAAGTGTTTAAGGTTTACGCATAAATTGGACGAAACAAGTAGCAATTACTGGCATATTTGTTATATTTGGTCTATTACTCACAAGTTTTGACAACATAAAAACTATACAATTTAACGAATCGTGTAAAATAATCAATGTAACGACACAGCACAAATAACAAATAAAGTCCATAGAACATCACTTTAGTCACATTCTAGAGTAGAGGAAATGATGCATATTCACAAATTCCGTACAAAACTTAAAAAATAAAAAATGTACGGAACAAAAAAGAATAGTGTACAGAATTGAAAGTTCTACAGAATCTCTACTGACTGAAGAAAGTTTCGGGACGCGCTCCCGCAAAGTAAAAAATAAATAATAATAAAACCATCTTAGATCCGTGTGAATATATATAGCATCGTCATTGTAAATATTAATCTAACACTAATAATTATAAAGATAATAATATTATTATTAGTAATTGCTTTGTACACATAAACAATAATAATAACGCGAATTATAAAATGAAATTCAATCAATCAATTTTTAAATTAACTTAAAAAATTATGTCTGGTAACAAGCGTAGCAGTTTTATTTGGAAATTGATTGCGAAGGAGATAGATTGTTAATTTCTTATAAAGTACAGTTATGACGTATTATTTTTACGCCTTGTAAAATTAATTTGCCATTCATTTTTTTTCAAGGACCAATTATAGTCACAAAAATTTGTTTGTTTTACTTAATATATAGATAAAACAAGCGTTTTTTCCTGTTGCTTGAAGAACTTTGTTTATTTATTTATGACATATTTTTGGTAATTATTTGTTTTTATAGACGAGAACTAATTTAATCATGACATGTATGAATAGACCTTTCTACAGATTTGCAAAAAAAAAAAATATAGGTTACGGTGATTATAGCTGCTGTGGCTGGCACCACGATTATTTATTTTTTTAAAACAAAATGAACAACAATCTTCGTAATAACCATCAACAAAATAATTCTATCTATTCTAATAATAATATTGATAATAACACTTTTGATGGAAATCCTTCTACCTCCAATATGAGTGATATGGATGTTGATAATTTTAATAATCCGACAAATAACACTATTTCACATACCCGAGAAAATGTTCGGTTATCTAACCAAATTTAATATATATATATAATCGATTAAATCGAAATGTGAGAAGTGTTAAGATAAAATTATCCGAAATTTATAATAATATTATTAGTAATAATAATAATAATAATAATAATAATAATAATAATAATAATAATAATAATCTAAATAATAGTGCGTATTATTAATAAGATTTTTTTAGATAAATTTTTATGACATCCCCTTTGAAAATAGGGTATTTTTTTCTCCGTCATTGTGTGTACGGTCAATTTTATCATGATGGCAATGACAGTTGGCGCACGACGAGGTTCAAGGAATATCTGATCATGCATGGGAAAGAACTAAAGAAAAATATCAATATAATTAGTTTTGACTGTGTGTAATTGAACTTTTTATATTCTTCTCTTTGAGATATATGTGTTTTGCATATCACGCTGGAGATAAAAAGAAACAGATTTTATTGTTGTGCAATTTTAACTTCTGATATTTATCTTAATTAAACCTAACTGTGTTTTGTACCCAATATGTAGTTATCAATTGCATCTTTTTCTTTATTTGCAACTTGGTTTTTAAGAGCCCATTTCTTCAATTCATCAATAATAATAACGATATTTATTTATTTCATGAACCAAATTTAAACAATATATTTTCCATGAAAATATAATTCCTTACGAATAATCTCTTTGTGCGATTCAGTTGTTTTATAAAATCTATAGATATTTCAGAGATATTTATGAATTCAGCTGTGTGATAATTGAAATTGTGATTCAGCGTAAATGCAAAAAAAAAAAAAGAAAAACATAACTTATAATGAAAGTCAGGGAAAGTCTCGTATCAAATTCATTTGTATCATCATTACTTCCGCTTTCATTCCTACCTCTGCTTTTCGCTTTCCACATTATCATCTACTAAATTCCTTATGAAGGAAACACAATATGAATAGTTGATAAAGACGTAGGTAAACATACGGTATAAATGCAAAGAAAGGCATGAGGTCGTTCAAGTTTAAAGATCATTTTTTTTCTAAAAATACGAGTGGGAAACAAAAATTTAAACATTTCTTATAATAAGAGTCAGGAAAACCTCTTGACCAATTCATACTTTTGCTTTAGACTTCCCAATACTATCATCCATCATTCAAGAAACATAACATTCTGTTGAATTCTCGTTAAATATTTTTCTAGGTGACTAGATTCACGGCGCCTCAGTTCCTATAACCACCCCGGTGTCAAATTCTAAACCTTTCTTTTCTGCATCGTCCCAATACTGCATATTATGAAAGTTCCTTTCTATAACACAGAAAATATTTCCACAAGTTAGATATGTAATAAGTAAATTGCATTGTTCAAGCAATCAACTTTTAAAAAGTAAAATATTAAATTAATAAATTGATTAAGTTTAGATAAGCAAAATTATATCATTTCAAAATCTTCAGCTGCAAGTATTGCTGACTAGTAAAGCATAATTTCTCAGTTGTTTCGCATATATTTTCACTTCTTATGATGACTTGGAAGTTGGACAATCGTGTCTTTAAAAGTTTGTTTTGATGGTCGTACCAGAACTGAAACTCATTCTAGAAAAACATATCAACTTCAGATCCTTCATCAATAAAGATCAATAGTCTTTCAACACCCAGATTTTCTTTTACAATTTTTATGAGGCACTGTCTGTTTATCCATCTTTCCAACTTCAGTTTCACCCACCCCTCCTATCCCCCCCTCTTAAGACATATTGTTTCTGATGAGAGCACAATACCAAATGGATAATATGATTTCTTACTATTACTATTATTCAGTGTATACCAGATCTGGTTAATTGTGTGTTGAAAATTTTTCATTGGTTAATTAATCGAGTGTTGAAAATTTCCACCGGATCAATCAGCAATAATAATATAGTACATTTTTTACTATGATGATTTAGTGGCAGGGACTTTTCGATCAATGAAGACGTGACTATATGGGGGCGTGGACAGCAAAAAGACAAAATAATGACATAATTACATGTAAGATATTTTGCAGTTTTTGGGAAATGCAAGAATGAATGAAAAGTACATAAACAAAATTTCATAGCCCAAGAAATCGTGGCTATATATTAATTAAGTAGGGATCCAAAGAACTATTTGTTACGAGAATTATTGTATTTCTAAAATAAATAGTGAAGACAAAAATGATCATTAAATAATAACACATTATTAAAATAAATCGGAGTTGTCTAATTGTTGAAATTTTTTTAAAAAATTTATCAATTCGGTTCCATAACATAATTCGAAATTTTCTTTATAATATTAATACAAATAAAAGACCATTAATATTAATTTATTCTGAACCAACTTTAAGGAATAAAAGACATGTAAATAAACTTGTTGCAACTGGGCCTGAAAAAATCACATTAGAATTGTTTCTTCTTCTTTATCTTTTTCTGGGGTTTTCTTCTTTCAGTGGCTTCTTTTTTTAGATCTTCCGATTTTTTCAACCCTTGGCTCATATTCACAACTTCACTTAAAAGATTAATATTCTTATTGATTGTTCTTAATGCCCTCTGTAAAATTTTTTCTGCAAAATTGCTTATATCATATTCTCTTTTAACACTTTTGACTCCTTCTTCCGTTAGTCCTCTAGAAAATCGAGAACGACACTATACTTTCTTTGGCTTTATTGTAGATTTCTTTATAATATTGATTGTATTTACCAAAACCTTTTTCTTCACAAGTTTAGCAGTTGCAGTTTAAGATCTCTTTTGACAAATGTAGCACATGCATTTTTGAAGCAATCTAAATCATCATCATAATACAATTCTTGCACCCAGAATTACTAAAAAAATTTGCATCATGTATGTGACTACATAATTTGCATTTTAAAACATATAACCAAAAAAAAAATAAGAGCTATTCATAAAATTTTTCATGATTTTCAATATGGTCATTAATGCTGCCTCGAGACTTAATGACCTAAATATAAAGACGAATATTGTGTGTTTAAAGAAATAAATTCCTTTGTTCATCTAATAATATTGTTGCCGGTTTTGTTAGAAAATCAATTATTGATAACTCTTAAATCTTTAGATATCCTTCTCTTAAAAGAAGATAATCAGAAATTTCATCTGCTCCATTAAGACTACGGACTCTACATTCTCAAATTCTTTCCATGAACATGAACAAATAATATTGATATAGTTCGTACACTTACTCAGGCAGACATCCATATAGAGGAAATTGATGCATTAAAACCTATATTATACAAATCTCAAACATTCGCTGTTAATTTACAATAGTGAATTAAAAAAATTAAAAGTTTAATTGATCAAAAAATAATAATAAGTATTACAATAAATGTGTCAACCGATAAAAAATAAATCTATAATATAATATGTTAAATAAAAATATCAGTACAATGTGTTCTTAAATAATAATAATCATATTATTACAAAATTTTCTTATCAACCCGAAATCAACCCGAACTCGACCCGAAAAACTTGGGTTGACCTTTATAACATTCGGGTTGACACTTAACCTGATCCGTTAGGAGCTTTAGATTATCCCTCTTCGATTTAATCGTTTATTATTTAACTGGTTAAGATTTACTAGTTAAAAGAAATTTTTACACGGTTCCAATCTCTACTTTTCTTAACAAATCAACGCTCAAGACACCATCAAGATGCATCCGAACATATTGACAATTTCTTTGCATTTAAACAAAGGATATTCGATTCTAATACTAATAAAAGATTGTTGCGCAAATTTAATTTACGCGTTGATAAAAAAAATGAATCATCAACTACAAGATAACCGTAACTATAACAACAACATTAATGACAACATATCAACAATAAATTATAATAATGCTGATAATTGGGTTCCATCCTAACAAAAAGGTATTTCGGGGAAAATGGGGTTTTTAAGAAATCAGATGATTTTTGTTTTTCCCCTCGTTTTTTTAATTTTTTAAACATGTTAACTAATCAAGAATATTTTTATGATTTATTTGAACTTGATTTAAAAGAATATGGTGATTATGAAAATATCCAAGAAATTATAATTTAAAGAATTTTTTTAAAAATCCAAAAAGTTGTACTTGTCATATTTTTGAAAGACAAAAAGATATTGAACTTGCTTTGAAAAAATTGGATTTATAAAATTTTTTCAAGACATTTTCAAATTATTAATTTAGCTAATAAAGAATTAGATTTATTTTTGAAAGCACAACTTTTAGCAATAGAAATAGAAAACAAAATTTGTAAAGAGTCCTCTGAAAATATTCCTCAGAAAATAAATTATATTCTCTTTGTAAAACAGCATTTTTAATAAGTGATCATAAATTTAAAAATATTGTAGAACACTTACACAATGAAGGAATAAATGAACAAATTCATGGAAACACAGGAAGAGCACATATATATAAAACTAAAGTCAATATTGATGAAAATTTAAAATCCATTGTAAGAAATTTTTTAAATCAATATTCTTTAATACATGGGTTACTTTCACCAATGAGACATGGGAATGGTTCTGGAGCATTTATTTATCTTCCTACTGATAAAAAATTTATATCAGTGTATAAAATGATTTAGAAGAAAAAAAAACTATTTCTTATACTTTTAGAAAATTATGGAATGAACTAATGCCTAATTTAAAATTTCAACCTCCTGCAAGTGATAATTGTGTCCAATTTAAATCAAAATTGCAATTAGCAAAAAGAAATATTGATGAATATAATAAAGTTGGAGCTGAATTTAATGAACATAAAAAAAGGCAAACCTTGAACATGATCATTATAACAATAATATTGAATTAAGTAAAAATCAATTGCACATATTTGTTATGATTGGGCACAAAATGTCACCATTCCTTACTCACCTTAACAACCAGGAGCATTGTATTTTTTGTCCAGTTATGCAGTTCATTTATTTGGAGTTTGTAAAACTGAAGGAGGAATAAATAAACAATTAAATTTTTAATAGGAGAAGATGAACTTCCTCAAGGTACATCTAAAGGAGCAAATATTACTTTAAATTTGGTTTATCAAGCTCTGCAAAGAATGATAAAAAAAAAATTGCATATAACTTGTGATAATTGCTCTACAAAATAAAAAAAATTTATCCCTTCGGTCTTGGGACTTGGCCAATAATATTGGGTTGGTATAAAGAAATTACAATTAAATTTATGATCCCAGGGCATACAAAATTTATGTGTGATTCTTTTTTTGGTCCACATAAACAGAAATAGTAAGTTAATCAAATTAATGAATGACATTAAGAATATTACCAATAATTCTTCAAAAGGAAATGAATCAATACAATATGAAAATGGTTCAGAGTTGAAAAGATATAATTTGGAAAATTATTTGAAAATAAATTTAAAACTTTACCTAATATAAAACAATATCATCATTTTAGATTTAACAACCTGCGTGAAAACAAAGGAAAAGTATTTGTTTCAACAATATCTGGTGAAAAAAAATGTTTTAATCTTTTAAAAAATAATAACTTTTAATCATAATGATCCTATTAATATTATTCCAATTAATACAGATTTAAATTATATTTGTAGGAAAGATTCAAATCAATTGTAAGATTATCATTTCCTTTTTTTGACATTAGAAAATATTGGGCCAAAGTTCGATAAATCTTTATAAGCTAATTGCACACTTTTCTATTAATTGAATGTTGGCAAAAATTATATGGTGCTATATCATTAATTGCTTATAGTAACAATTGGTCAACTTCGAAATATTAAAACAAAAAAAAATTATATCATTTTAAAAATTTTAACCGATAAGTTTTATTGTTCATGACTCAAGCTTCAAAACTTATCAGCTGGTTTTTTCTTAAACTGAAAATTGG